GAAAAAATCCTCACCCTGGTCGAGGCTAAGCGGATGTTCCTTGGGCCGGGGACCAGCAGGGGGGCGCTGGTTTTACAGGCCCCGCGGAACCGTAAGAGTCCTGCAGGGCCCTGATCTCAGATGGGAGACTGTTCCACCAGGCCTCACCCTGGTCGAGGCTAAGCGGATGCTCCTTGGGCCGGGGACCACCAGGGGGCGCTGGTCAGAAGAGCGTAAATCTCTCTGGAGCGCATGTGTTGAGAGGCGGTCCCAGTCCAAGGCTCCCTCTAAGCTGTGGAGTCTCGTGAGCGAAAATTCCACTTTGTGAGCTGCTGGCATTAAAGTTGTACGCCAGCGATTTGGCTACTGCATGAACCAGTTTGCTCTGGAGCCCCCCCCTTCCTGAGCTGAGACCAAAACGTGTGAGCCGGAGGCTAAGAAACTGTCAGCTGGCTCACAATAATTCAGCTTAGAGGGAACACTGGGTCCACAGGCATGATGCTCCCAGGCTTTATAGGGCTTTAAAGGTCAAAACCTTTTATGTATTTGTCGAATGTTCTCCCTTTTATAATGCCAATAAAGGTCAACTAAAACTAAAGGTCAAAACTGTAACCATGCGCCAGATGGGCCTGCCGGAAAACAACAGCCGACTCCGAAGGCCACCGGAAGAGGAAGAGCCGAGCCGAAGCCCAAAAAAAGCCGAAGAACAGTGAGTCCCACCATTGGGTGCCGGTAGGGCAGTGCCCACCCCTGACGATGTGGCCATAGCTAGGGATAAATGAAACTGTGTAAGCCGCTCAGAGACCCCCCCGGGGTTCGAGCGGGATACAAGTCGAAAGCATAAATAAATAAATATATAAATAAATAAACCCTGAACTGGATCCGGTATTTGATCGGCAGCCAGTGCCGTTGATGCGACACTGGCTGAACGAGCGTCTGCACAGGCGTTGCCATTAGCAGGCATGCCGCTGCATTCATAATAATATAATCTTTCCATTTATTAATTGCTCAATCCATGCAGAGCTGCCGCCTCTGAGCGATATACAGTTACTCATGAATTTCACATGGGACTAACAATGCTGGGGGTAAGGGAAGACAACATATATCAAATCATACACATGTTTTCGTAGTCAACGGAGTTAGTCAGCTGCAAGGTCCAGGCGTGTTCCGGCAGCATTCTGCACTAGCTGCAATTTCTGGATCAGGCTCGAGGGCTTTTCAGACCTTTCACATCTAGGCCATTATACAAGAGTCCGAAGTCTTTGCAGAGGGCAGTAAGGCAGCCTCCACCTACCTCACAGGGTTGCTGTCAGGATAAAATGGAGGAGTGGGAAAAGATGTAAGCTACTTTGGGTCCTCCATTGGGGAGAAAGGCAGGGCATACATGAAACAAACCGATGTTCTCCCTGCTCCATCTCAAGACTTTCCCCAGCTTCGTTGGCAAGAAGACCTACAGATGAACATGACGGATCTCCTTTGGAATAAGATCTGGGACTCATCGGTTAACCACTCAAGAAATTTTACAATCCGCTTACAATCCTTTAAGCTAATTACGTGTTGGTATTATACTCCGGGAAAAGTTGCATAAGATAAACCCAACAATCAGCCCTCAATGTTGGAAGAGTTGTGGAAGCATAGGGACGTATTTTCATTGCTGGTGGGAGTGTTCCATTATACAATCGTTCTGGAGTGATGTTATTGGACATATAAATGAAATCACCAATCAAATCTTACCGATTTGTCCTAAATTGTCTCTTCTTGATTGGGTGGATCTGGCTACAACTACGTTGGCCCAAAAATAACTCTCTTCCAGGCTGCTGGCAGCAGTAAGGCTAACAATTGTCTCTGGAAATCTGGCTCTTCCCCCTCGTTGCAACTATGGTTTGAAAAAATCTGGGACCAATATATTTTAGAAAAACTGACTCAAATTACTCAGAATGCTAATGTTGATACGTCAAGGGTTTATGCACAATTTGTTGCAATTTGGTCAAGGGTTCTCAATTTTGTGTCAGAAAAGGACATTCTTCCTTCCGAAGAGGCATACATTCCCTGGATACGATTTTAAACATATTCATTCACTACGTATGTACTGGCAGTGTTCGTCTAACTTTTTTCATGATCAATCACCATATCTTTATCTTTTGTGTTTTAATGCACCGTTCACGCGTAAAGAGGTTAGGCGGTTATAGTGCGGTTAAGCTGATAGTATTGGTAAAGGGTTATGTTTATCTTTAAGGAGTTATGTTTGTGTTACATTTGTTTTGTAATGTGCCTGTTTTCATTGCTGTCCCATTATGGTTTTTCTTAATAAAAAATAATATTAAAAAAAGACTTTCCCCAGCCATTTTGGTCTTCTCCCTGGTCCCTTCTGTCATGAATTTTCAGGGTCCATTGATGCACACGAACCCCGCACAGATTCTGCCAAGCAAATGCAGAATCCTACCTTTGCCACCATCATGTGTGAGGGCTGAGGCATGTGTTAAGGTTTCACAGGGCAGGCTGCCAGTTTGGTGTAGTGATTAAGTGCACGGACTCTAATCTGGGAGAACCGGGTTTGATTCCCCACTCCTCCACTTGCACCTGGCTGGATGACCTTGGGTCAGTCACAAGCTCTGGCACAGCTGTCCTTGAAAAAGAGCAGTTTGTGTCAGAGCTCTCTCAGCCCCACCTCCCACACAGGGTGTCTGTTGTGGGGAGGGGAAGGGAAAGGAGTTTGTAAGCCGCTCTGAGACTCCCAAGTGAAGGGTGGGGTATAAATCCAATCTCTTCTTCTCTCTTCTTCTTCTTCTCTGTGGGGTACTGGATTAGATTACCTGCAAGTACAGGTGGGTAAATCAGTCAGATAGGATACCAACTTCTAAATTTGCAGGCGTTCAGCCCCTCCTGTGACTCAAGAGCATGGAAACCTTATAAAGACAATGGGCTGCATCCCACCTGTGCCAGGTAACCTGGGTTGCCAGCTTCCAGGTGGTAAAGGAAAGGTTATGTTACCCGAAATGAGCTGAGAATGATCCAGATACCACGTCCCCAGACAGGATAGTTTCTGAACTGGATTCTTTGGCCTGAAATATTTCATTCAATGGCTAGGGCTTCTTATATTTGAACTTTTCATATACGGATGTTTGTGATGCTTATTCAAATCTCTTTTCGTACATGGATGTAATGCCTTATAGAATTGGCCACCTAGCCAGTTTGGTGTAGTGGTTAAGTGCGCAGACTAATGTGGGAGAACTGGGTTTGATTGTCCACTCCTCTATTTGCAGCTGCTGGATGACCTTGGGTAAGGCATAGTTCTGTCAGAGCTGTTCTCTCAAGGGCAGTTCTCTCAGAGCTCTCTCAGGCCCGCCTACCTCATAAGGTGTCTGTTGTGGGGAGGGGAAGGGAAAGGAGTTTGTAAGCCGCTCTGAGACTCCAAGTGAAGGGTGGGGTATAAATCCAATCTCCTCCTCCTCCTCCTCCTCCTCCTCCTCTTCTATTAATACAATGATAGGATCACACAGTGTATTTATGAAAACACTTTAGTGAAAGAATTTACAACACTGTACATTGATGATTTTTGTGCTTTTTAACCACCGTTTCTTGTTCTCAGTAGATAGCTTCCAGGCGGAGATCTCCCACTAACATGACTAATCTCCAGGCAGTAGACAGGCAAGAGAGATCAGTTCCCCTGGAGAAAACGGCCACTTTGGAAGGTGGACTTTATGGCATCGTACCCCAGTGAAGCCCCTCCCCAAACCCCGCCCTCCCCAGGCCCCACCCCCAAAATCTTGAGGTTGTTCCCGTCTTGGAGCTGGCAACTCTAAATGCAACAGATGAGTCCAATCTTGCCAGATCTCAGGAGCTAAGCAAGGGTCGGCGCTGGTTAGTATTTGGATGGGAGACCACCAAGGGAGTCCAGGGTTGCTACGCAGAGGCAGGCCATGGGAAAAACCCCTCTGGACTTTTTTTGGCCTAGAAAACTCTACAGGGTCGCCATAAGTCGGCTGTGACTTGCCTGCACTTTACAGGTCATGTCAAATCCTGCAGTCTCTTAAATCTTCGCTTTAATAAACACTGCTTGAGTTTCTTGTTTCCAGGCTTGTAACCTGTACACACAGACATCCTTTGGGTGTCTCCTCCATACAACAAATATTTTCTTTCTCTTCTGTTTTTCTTCTCTTTTTTTTTCTTTTTTCAACAGTCATTAACAGTCTCACTGGCTGTAGAACTTAGCTTTCCCATCAGGCTTTTTAGCCTACAGAACCAACCAGTTCCCAGAAAGGACAAGGAATTGGCCAATCTCATCCAAGTCCCGCCTTTCTCCCGACCAATAGGAGCAGCATATTTCCCAACCCTTCTTTTCCTCTTCAAATTCAACTGAACAGTGTGCTTTCAATTTATCATCATCGTCTCACCTGCCCGAGGATACATTTGCCTTTAAAGAATTTACTTCCTCGTATTCCTAATTTTCTATATTTCGCCCTTCCCTAAAACGTGCATGTACTATTTGCCCAACCCCCAAAATAATCTGGAATCTTCTTACTTTAATGAAATGCATGTCACATTAACAGCCGAATGAAAAAGGATCAATGTTGCCCTCTAATGGCCATAGCCTACTTTAATGTGTGAATGGCCATTAAGGCTATGCAAACCTAAGCCAAAACTTGCAGTTTTAACATGCTGTGCTTGTTAATGGAATAAAGAACTATCCAGGTGTTTCGTCCATTTGAATTCCATAATCCCCAGTGGAGCTTTGGACTGAAGCAAAAAAGGCATGGGATGGCAGTGGTAGCCGTTGCGGAGGTGTGAAGGGAGAGGAGTGAATACCAAAAAGCTGAATGGTAATTCTGCTAACTACAACTACAATCCTTCTCAGCCCACATCGTCTGGCTTTCCAGATTGCAAGTCTGGATTTGAAAGGGCTTTTCCCCAGTTCGTTGATGGCCCACTGACGCCACCTTGAATTTGCCTGCTTTCCAAAAAGAACAGTCGTTTGAGAAGAGGGCGAAGTCTGGACTGCTAAATCGTTCTCGTCTCGCAAGATGACAGGGGTGGAGCTGTGCGAGCCCGTCCAGCTGTACAACATCTTGAACCAGGCCACGAGGTCGTCCAGACTGGCCGAGCGAAACTACTTGTGTCTGATCGACGCTCGGACCAAGAGGGAGTACGACGAAAGCCATCTGATCACAGCCATACGAGTGAAGCAGGACGCTTCTGGCTCGTATGTCGTTCCTCCTTCTGTGGACCTCGAATTCATCAGACACTGCGTGGTGTACGATGGCACAACCAACCTCTTGGACGTCACCAGTCAGACGGATGCCACTGCGCGGGAAGTGGATGAAGAAAGAAATGCCAGGCCTGGGTCCGCCTTACGCTGCGCCAGAGTCCTGCAGCGATACACTCGCTTTCCTGTCCAGATCCTGAGAGGGGGTTATGAGCGCTTCACGGCCTCTTACCATTTCCTCCGGACCCAGAAGGTTTTCTGGATGCCTCGGGAACTAGAGGACTTTCTGCCCTACCCAGTAGAGATTGTGCCGGATAAACTGTATATGGGGAATTCTATCCAAGCCTGCCACCAACAGATACAGAAGGATCTGAAGATTCAAGCCCATGTCAACGTCTCCGAAGAGGTGGACACGTTCTTCCCCGATGACAGCGACAGAGTCCTTCACATTTCAGTCCCCGATTCTCCAGAGGCGGACATTTCACCCTACTTTAGCGAAGTCTGCCACTACATCGATAGCAACATGCGTCGAGGCGGGGTCTTGGTTTTCTCTACCTTGGGCATTAGTAGATGCAGCACAGTAGTCTTGGCCTACCTGATACATTCCTGCAGACTTTACTTGAAGAATGCATGGAGTTACCTCCAGAAGTGCAAAAGCAACATCCGGCCCAACCGGGGGTTTGTGCAACAGCTGTCAGATTGGGAGACCCGGGTCTATTTGGCCACAATCACCGATATCTCTGAACCGGGTTACTGACCAAAGGCATCCACTAACATAGCTTCTCTGGTCTCTTGGCTGATGACCTTCTAGAAAGTTATAAAACAAACAAACCCTCTGTTGTTCTGGAACATGTTTGTTTGTTTGTTTTAATGAAACCTGAAATTAATTTTGATGAGGTTGGGATTCATATAATTTTTGGCGGTTTGGTTTTTATTGTTCAACTGACTGTTCGTTGCTTTTAGTGGTCCTGTTTAATACTTTGGCTGTTTATGCTTATATTTTTTTCTCTCTGCTGCTTTTAGTTTTATGGGTGGTTTTATTGTTGTTTTTAATCTGTGAAACTGTTTTGAATTTGTAAATGCCCCCTTGTTGCCGAAGACTGGGATATAAATTTCTTAAATAAATATTTATTGTACGCAGAGCACTCTTTGGCAGTAAGATTGTCTGGGTTATATTACGTGGTATTGAGTGGTATCATCTTCACTAGGTGTCCTCTCCTTGGGAATCATTTAGACCAGGGATTATAATTATTGTAGGGACAGCAAACACAACTAGGGTTGCCACCTCTGGGTTGGGAAATCCCTGGAGATTTTTTTGGGGGTGGAGTCTGATGAGGGGAGGGGTTTGGGGAGGGGCGGGACTTCAGTGGGGCACAAGGCCATCGAGTCCACCTTCAACAGCAGCCATTTTCTGCAGGTGTACTGATCACTATCACCCGGAAATCAGTTGTAATCCCAGGAGATCTCGAGCCACATCCTGCAGGTTGGCAACCCTAGAGACAACACTCAGGAACTGTTTTCCCAAATGATCTGGAAGAACCGGGGCAAAACTTAGATATCAGCGGCAAGAGAGTAGCTTGAATCCAATCAGTACTCCCACATCATCTCATCCAGTTTCCCTCTTCAGTAGAGCCAGTTTGGTGTAGTGGTTAAGTGCGCGGACTCTAATCCGGGAGAACCAGGTTTGATTCCCCACTCCTCCACTTGCACCTGGCTGGATGGCCTCGGGCAAGCCGTAGTTCTGATAAGAGCTGTCCTTGAAAAAGAGCCGTTTCTGTCAAGAGTTTTCTCAGCCCCACCTACCTCACAGGCTGTCTGTTGTGGGGAGGGGAGGGGAAGGGAAAGGAGTTTGTAAGCCGCTCTGAGACTCCTCTGGATAGTGAAGGGCAGGGTATAAATCCAATCTCTTCTTTTACCTCACAGGGTGTCAATTGTGGGGAGGGGAAGGGAAAGGAGTTTGTAAGCCGCTCTGAGACACCTTTGGGTAGTGAAGGGTGGGGTATAAATCCAATCATTTCTTCTTCGCTTCTAGATCCTCCCAATCCCCTTTCGTCCAGTCTTGGGCAGCACATTCCACAGTCAGAAAGGGGCCGCTCCACAGTGAAAAAGGGAACCCGACTTCTTTTGCCAGCAAAAAAGCTGGTCAGATCCAACCCGCTGACTTCATTCCTCCGAGTGAAGGGCGGGGTATAAATCCAATCTCTTCTTCTTCTTCTTCTTCTTCTTCTTCTTCTTCTTCTTCTTCTTCTTCTTCTTCTTCTTCTTCTTCTTCTTCTTCTTCTTCTTCTTCTTCTTCTTCTT